GTAAGAACAGCTGATAAAAACAGTAAGAACAGCCGATAAAAACTTTAAGAACAGCCGATAAAAACTGTAAGAACAGCTGATAAAAACTGTAAGAACAGTCGATAAAAACTGTAAGAACAGCCGATAAAAATTGTAAGAACAGCCGATAAAAACTGTAAGAACAGCCGATAAAAACTGTAAGAACAGCCGATAAAAACTGTAAGAACAGCCGATAAAAACTAAGAACAGCCGATAAAAACTGTAAGAACAGCTGATAAAAACTGTAAGAACAGTCGATAAAAACTGTAAGAACAGCCGATAAAAATTGTAAGAACAGCCGATAAAAACAGTAAGAACATCCGATAAAAACAGTAAGAACAGCCGATAAAAACTGTAAGAACAGCCGATAAAAACTAAGAACAGCCGATAAAAACAGTAAGAACAGCCGATAAAAACTGTAAGAACAGCCGATAAAAACAGTAAGAACAGACGATAAAAACTGTAAGAACATCCGATAAAAATAGTAAGAACAGCCGATAAAAACAGTAAGAACAACTGATATAAACAATAAGAACAACTGATAAAAACCGTAAGTAAAACATTTAATTAAAAGCTTGTCTGATTAAAAATGTCTTAAACTGCTCAACACAGTCAGAGTTTCTTTATTGTCATTCGCACCTCATGTGGTACATGTGGTGGAGCGAAATTATGTACACAAGGTCCCAGTTACATCCAACAATAAAATGTATAAGAAAAACAGTAATAACATCTAAGATATGAACTAAGAAAAACATCAACTAAATATAGCGAGAAACAGGGGCAGGACATTCCACAGTCTGGGGGCTACGGTCTGAAAGGACACGTCACCATGAGTTTTAAACCGGGTCTTAGGGACCTTTGGGAGGTTCAGCGCTGAAGACTGAAGGGTGTGTGCTGAAGAATAAGGGGTCAACATTTCAGTAATGTATTGGGGGGGCCTGTCCATTTAAAGCTCTAAAAGTCGACTAAAATTTTAAAATTAATTCTAAATTCAACAGGTAGCTAATGAAGAGAATAAAACTGGTGTAATGTGTGACCTTATATTAGTTCCTATTAGCTAACACCTGAAGAAAAATTAAGGTCAATAAACACTTGAACCCCAAACAAGATAAATGTTTTATTTGTGAAAATCAGTACCGGTATTTATACATTAATCAAAGCTATTTGTCAAATCCTTAGGAGAAAAGTTGAAATATAATTCATGTAATTAGTCTGAGTTATGTTTCTATCATTAGTTAAGATGATCTGATCTGTTACTTTTCGTTCTGCCTGAACATAGTGATATGAGTGCTGCAAGAAGCAGACGTCAAAACAGCCCCTGCAGTTACTCACAAGGTGTTATGTGCTGAAAATAGCTGTTTTTATAACTTGTTTCTTTTAAACAAATTACGGAAGCACGATATTGGATTTTTGACCAATATTCCAATACTGTATTTTAAAACTTATTTGGCCAATAACCGATACCAATATTTTTATCCCTAGACCTACTTACAGATACTACATATATTTCTCTGCTGTGGAATTAAAATACCACATCATTCTGAATGATCTTTGTCAGTTTGACCTGCTCACTAATGCAGATGCCAAAAAGGGGCAGACAATGATGCAACACTTCAACTTGGATTATGTTTAATGTCAAATTTATTAATGACATTTACTCTAATACAATGACAACACTTAAACAATCGTACAAAAAACAGTGCCTTGTGTGTGTGTGTGTGTATATATATATATATATATATATATATATAATGTCAGCGCCTTTTATATTGGTGTTATTTTGATAAAATGGCCAATGTCTGATATTCAACTTTATCATTAATGCCGACTGATACCATGCCATTAATATTGTGCATCTCTAAAACAAATGCATAAAAAGTTTTCCTTTTTTTCTTATAATAGCCTGTTTGAAGGGTATGTGCTGTAATTATACAAATCCAACTATCTAAAAAAATATATAATTTGTCTTTCAGAAATACAGGCTTGCATGTTTGCTTGTGTGTGAAGTGTTAGTAATTATAATTGTGTGTGTTTATGATCTTGCAGACAGCGAGGCTGGTTGGCACGGAGACTGAGCTATGTGCTGTTTGTTATGGAGAGAGATGTCCGCAAGGACATGTTCACCAGGAACGTGGTTGACAATGTGCTCAACAACAGCAGGTTGGACATTATAAAACAAATTTAAAGAAAATTGTCATGGTCTTTATCGTTTACTGTGTAGTTCCTAAATTAAAGTAATAACGACTGAGCATAAATTGCATTAAAATGACACGGGAATAAGCCAACATCACCATGACGTTTTCAGTGATTGTGTTTATGAGCTAAAAGATGTGAGCATGTGTTCGTGCTTTCATTGATGGCAGAGTGGAAACGGCTATTTTAGCTGTAGCAACCGATTCGAAGGCAGCCGCAAGCCGTCCTGGTCAGGAGCACAAGTCTGTCAGTAAAGTGAAGCAGAAAGCCAGAGCTTTCCTTCAGGAGATGGTGGCCAACATTTCACCAGCCTTCATCAGGTACCAGCATGTTCTAGTTTGTTAAAGCATCTTAACTATCATCTTTTTTTACTAGAAGAAGATTTTTAGCTGTAGAAACAAACACTGTTCTCTCCATCTTCATGTTTGTCCAGACTAACAGGTTGGGTGCTTCTGAGGCTGTTTAATGGGTTTTTCTGGAGCATCCAGATCCATAAAGGACAGCTGGAAATGGTCAAAAAGGCTGCCTCAGAGGTGTGCAACAGCTACATATTTATAACAACAAACTAAACTGCCTCATTATGATCTGCTGCTCTGAACAAAAACAATATAATGTTGTCTTTGCAGCAAAACGTACCCATGGTCTTCCTCCCTGTTCACAAATCCCACATCGACTACCTGCTCATCACGTTGATTCTGTTCTGTCATAACATCAAAGCCCCCCACATCGCTGCTGGAAACAACCTGAGCATCCCGATCCTCAGGTAGAACCTCACAAAGCCCCGTGCACAGTTTGATCCAGAATACAGCTGGATTTCTGCTTTTAGACCATCAAAACATCTGTTTGATACAAGGAGAACAAGAGAAATTGCATTTCCTGTGAAAATGCAATGTGAATGCTTATTGCAGAAGAACTTGCTGAAAAACAGCTGAAATTAACTAAAAACGTGCTGAAATGTAGCAGATATGGAAGAACAAGCCTAAACTTGCAGAAGAAAGCAGAAAGAACATATATTTGCTTAATTATGTTTAAATAAGCAGAAATGAGCACAAAAATAAGGAAATTAGCTAAAAAAGGCTGAAATTAGCCAAATATAGCTGAAAAGTAGCTGAAAAAGCAGAAATAAAATTTAACTACGAGAAGGTAGTGGAAAGAGTTGAAATGAGCTAAAAAAAAAAACAACTGGAATTAGCTGAAAAAGCTAAAATTAGCTAAAAAAAAACAGCTAAATAGTAGCTGAACTAGCATTATAGCTGAAATTAGCCTAAATAAGCTGAAACGAGCACGGCAAGCTGAAATTGGCAGAAATAAGTTAATTAGGCTGAAAGTAGCAGAAATTACCACAAAAAACTTAAATTTATCTGAAAACGGCTGAAATTAGCTAAACAATGCTAAAGTTATCTGTTAGCTAAACAATGCTAAAGTTAGCTGTATAGGTATAACAAGCTTAAATTAGCAGAAGAAAGCAGAAAGAACACATTTGCTGAATGAAGCAGAAATGAACACCAAAAGTGGAAATTATCTGAAAAATCTGAAATTAGCAACAACAACAAAAATAAAGCTGAAAAGTAGCTAAAAAAAAAGGCAAAAAGAAGCTTGAATTACAAGAAGGAAGTTGGCAGAGTAAATTTTAGCTGAATTAGGCTGAAAAAAGTTTAAATTTGTGCAAAAAATGTGGAATTAGCTGAAAAAGCTCAAATTAGCATTAAAACAGCTAAATAGCTAAAATTGCAGAAAAAGCTGAAACTAGCATAAATAAGCTGAAAGGAGCATACTGAGCTGAAATTAGCAGAAAGAATCACAACATGTTGTAGTTAGCAGTAAGAAGCTGAAAGGAACATAAAACTATTCATTTTCTATGAGGAAAAAAGTAATAAATTAATAAAGTGCTATGTGTCGTCATCATTGTATGTTCCCATACGAAGGTGAAATTGTCTCTCTGCATTTAACCCATCGCACCTGGCGTACATCCCGGTGGTGCAGTGGGCAGCTATGCAAGCGCACGGGGAGCAATTCAGGCTTGGTTGTCCTGCTCAGAGACACCACGAGTTGTGCAATGACCGGGGATTGAACCCAGGACCTTTGGGTCCCAGGTCAGCTGCTCTGCCCCTGCGCCATCATGGCCCTTTCAAAAAGTGGCAGAAAAAGCCAAATATTTAAAAAAGCTAAAGTTGCACCAATACCAAAAGTCATAGCGGGATTGTCCAGAAAGAGCTGAATGTTTTTATTTATGATTTGTTGAACTAGTTTAAAAACTGCGGGATGAGAAATGCACCGAAATACGTACAGAAGAAAAATGGATCACAATAGTGTGAATGCTTCATACACATTCACACAATAAAGGACATTTATGAGCAAAGAAACCAGTCTTGTGACCTGCTCCAAGTTATTTTTTAAGTTCTGACACTGATCTACTAGTTTTCTAACATTGCTTGATACTTAAAACTTGTTTGTTTTATCAGCACTGTGATCCGTAAACTTGGAGGATTCTTCATACGGAGGAGAATGGAGGACTCGGGGGATGGGAAGAAAGATATTTTGTACCGATCCCTTCTGCATGCAGTAAGAGTCAATTTATCTTTTTACAGTAAAAGCTAGTTTGAATGTTTCTTCTCTGTCTGCTTGTTGTCCGTCTGGAGCAATGTTAGATCATCTTCACTTAGCCATTTTCCACTGTTTGTGCTTTGAGTTTATCCTTATCAGACATGCTTTTTAATTTATGACCATAATCCTGTAATGTTAACAGTCAAACAAAAGCTTTGTTTAGGTTAAGATGTGCTGCTCTGAACTCTGTTCTCTCAGGTGGAGTGTCATGGAGTCGCTCTGACTTTTAGTGCCTTCTTCGCCATCTGCACTAATTTGACGATAGGTTTTCAGGATGAGCAGATCAGTTTACACGTGACTGCTGGAGTCCAACTCGGAGTAGAACCGTACAAAGATGCTAATGTAATTTGTCTGCAGGTTTACCTTTTAATTATCGCAAGTTTGTGAACGTTGAGAACCTTTAAAGTCTCTTAACTAAAAATCAGACTACGTTAAATAGCAAATGTAACAGTTTTAGCCAGTGCGGGTTTTTTTTTTTTAAATTAAATTACTGATTATATCAAGGTTCATGCTCAGTAATCCAGGTAAAACATCCAACAATGTTCAGTCAGGTCATCTGGACAGTTTTTTTTTTTTTTTGTTGAGAGACGTTTCGCCCTCCATCCGAAGAGCTTCATCAGTCTGAGTCCCAAACAAACTGTTTTCACCACAATCTTTTCAGATGGAGGGCAATACGTCTCTCAAAAAAACCAAAAAACTGTCCAGATGACCTGGTTGAACATTGTTGGATACTGATTGTCTCCTTAACGAGTTCAAGTACTGAAGGTAAGACAAGAATGTGCGGTGCCACTGAGTCGACTTTTTATCTCTGTGCCAGAGATGAGCGTTATCAGCTCAGCATATGAAATCAGCCAGTTTATCCATCCCACAGCTTTTATTTTCCCGTACAGCGGACAAACAAAGCGTTTGAGTCAAGTGAAATGATAGTTTTATCACTCAGAAGCTGTTTTTTATGGAAATTCATTGATATAAACTCCACAAGCGATATATAAACAATAAAAAAAAAGAATCCTCTAAAACGGGGTGGTTCGTTCTTTATGAAGTTGGAACTGAGTCCCACGATCTCTAGTATATTTCAGGCCAGACATCCACTTCCTGAGGGGTCTGCATTCCAAGAGACAGCTGTGTACACTCTACACCCAGGGGTGTCATTACACCACGTGGCTACCTGCGTGTGCTCGTGTCCTTGCAAAGTGCAACGGGGTCAAAGCGTTGGATATCAGCTGTTATTTTTAACCTTCATTAAATTAAACTTTGTCGCAGTCAGTTTGTCATGACCGCTTCTTTGTTTCAAACCTCCTCCAGTACACGGAGGAACTGATGCGGCAGCAGCAGTTTTTAGAGATCTTTTTGGAGGGCACTCGCTCCCGCAGTGGGAAGCCATTTCCAGCACGTGCAGGCATGCTGTCCATCGTGGTCGACACTCTGTGCACGGGGGCCATCGGAGATTTGCTGGTGGTGCCAGTCGGCATCTCGTATGACCGCATTATTGAGGGAAACTACAATAGCGAGCAGCTGGTAAGCTCTTTGATCTGTTTTCTATTTTTGCTTTGGCAACCAAGGTTTCTGTTTTTCTTTTTTTCTTAGCACACACACAAAATAATACACTTTTTTTATTCTTGTAAAGAATTATAAGGGATCAAAGTTCATGCTCAATAATCCAGGTAAAAAAATCCAACAAAGGTCAGTCAGGTCACCTGGATGGTTTTCCTTTTTTTTATTTTATTTTTTGAGACATTTCGTCCTTCATCCAAAAGACCGAGTTTGTTTGTGGCTCTTCGGACTGATGAAGTCCTTTGGATGAAGGATGAAACGTCTCAACAACAAAAAAATAAAATAAACCGTCCAGATGACCTGTCTGAACTTTGCTGGATTTTTTTATCTGGATTATTGAGCATGAACGTTGACATTTTAAACCACGTTGGATATGGCTACCTCAGAGGAGTGAGAGGGCGGGTCCCAGAAACCACCTTATCGCCGCAAACTGGTTGATCCACATGTGAGTGTGCTGCATGTGGAACTGAGTTTGTTGGGGCTCCTCGTACTGATGAAGTCCTTTGGATGAAGGACGAAACACCTCAACAAAAAAATGCAGCCATCCAGAGGACCTGACTGAATTTTGTTGGAGTTATCATAGATAGTTTAGCTTTTACAATATTGACAAAAATGCCTTTTTTGTTTTCTAAAATGATTTTGGATATGGACACCAGTGATTCCCGTGACCCAAAAAGGAAGAAGCGGGTAAAAATGATGGATGGATGGATGGATGGATGGATGGATGGATTTATAGGTTTAAAGTTGAACAGTTTGTCTTTTTGTGTCGTTCAGGGCAAACCCAAGAAGAATGAGAGCTGGTGGGGAATAGCGTGCGGGGTGTTCAGGATGCTGAGGAAGAACTATGGCTGTGTTCGAGTTGACTTCAACCAGCCTTTCTCCCTAAAGGTGACGATCACAGATCTTCATTAGACCATTTTTTAATCTTCAACACTTTAAAAATGTTTTTAAAATGTAAAACCATCTGTTGTGAGCCTCCAGTTATGTCTGTTTGTTTAATGTAGGAGTATTTGGACACTCAGAGGAGTCGTCATATTCCGCCACCGGTGTCTCTGGAAAACGCCTTGCTGCCCATCATTATTTCTGCACAGTAAGTGTACACACACACACACACACACACACACACAGTTTCCTTTCTCATTGCAAGTTGTCTTCATCTGTCCAGAGTTTTTGTCCCTCAGCTTTTGATGTAGCAACTTTCATGTCCAAACTCAGTTTCTCCCCTCCTGCTGCTTCACAGCAAGCGTCTGTCGTTTGACGTCTGAGCCCTCCATGTTCCACTCGCAGAGGTTACTTCAGTTCTGAGCCGTTTGTTTTTTTTAATCAAACTGAGCCAGTTATAAAATATGTTCATAAGGACATCTGCAGTCTCTCACAGCACGGCTGACGTCAAACATTCACTGTCCTAAAAGAGACGAGCACAAGTTAACACCTCCATTGCTCACTTAATTTTTTTATGCCTCGAGTGTGAAACGTTTTGCCGAGTCGTAAAAACTTGGCCTGGAATTTAAAGGAAATGAACATAAAGCCACTTCAGGATAAGGAGGACCAAATTTCATTATAAAACTTGGTATATTTAAACTTAACTTCAAATCAGGATTTTTTTTTTTTACACTCTGCTGATTGTAGTATATAAAAAATCTACTTGTGTAACATTTCTTCTTGTAGTTTCTCCCCCTTTTTGTTTCCTCAAGCGTATTTATTTCCCTGTTTCGTTTTTTACATTTCCTTATGCATTACTGCCTAATTATACAAAAGAGGGATGATGCATTTCACACTCGAGGGACGAATGTAAAACAGCACAACACAGATCACGATAACCAGTTGCAGCAGTAACTGATAAAATATCTTATGAGCAGTAAAACGTGTAGCGTAGATTTATCTTTTTACTCTATATCTATTTACTTCAGATGGTTACTGACTGAGAAACAACAAGCTGGCTCAGTTCTTTAATCCAAAATTTATATATTTAAATTATTGCAGTGAAATAAGACATGGCATTTCTCAACTTTGGGTTTAATGATTGTGAGCACCGAAACGGTGAATCATTCTGCGAAAATGTAAACCCATGCCATGTCCTGAATAACAACCACTCCTCTTTTGTCTAATGAAGGAAGGATGGTTAGAGAAGTTTGAAACAGAGCTGTATTAAAAAGTTTACACACTGAATAAAACGGGGATAAAAATGCTAGAAGGAAACGATACACAATATTATCAAGGAGTACCTATTTGTGGGTTAACTTAATGTTATTTGATGTGAATCATTGTCCAAAGTGAAGGTTCATGTGCAGAAGTTGTTCTGTTGTTGTGCCCTCCCTCATATCTAATATTAATATTTTTGAAGATAAATATAAAACTTAAAATAGCTTATTTGACAACTTGTGACTGCTTGGTCACTTATTGATTTACATAAAGTTTAGAAAGCAAATGCTACTAGCAACTAGCATAGTTTAAAGTAAAGTGCTATCTGTTATCATTCCCATACAATGACAATATTAGTTCTCTTCATTTAACCCATCACATGTGGGATACACCCAGGTGGAGCAGTGGGCAGCTACTGTATGTAAGCACCCGGGGAACAATTAGGGATTGGGTGTCTTGTTTCTGTTGCAATTTAACATTTTCTTCACAAACCTCAGGAAAACGTCGTCATTCCCTCCATTGCTGCCTCTGAAACCATGTGTTTCATGTGGGAATACAAAAAGCAAATTCAAAGAAGTTTAAAAAGAGGGGGATAAAAGGCAGGAGAGGCAAGAATATAAATTATAACTAGAGAAACTGCATTACTTGTGAAAATGCAGTGTGAAGGATTATTGCTGAAGAACTTGCTGAAAAGCAGTTGAAATGAGCTAAAAACAGCTGAAAAGTAGCTAAAAAGACAGAAACAGCTGAAAATACAAGAAGGAAGTGGAGAGAGCACATTTTTGCTGAATTAGGCTGGAAAAAATTGAAATCAGTGACTACTATATGTGAAATTAGCTGAAAAAGCTTAAATTAGCATCAAGTTAAATGAAATATCAGAAAAAGCTGAAACTTGCAGAAATACGTTGAAAGGAGCTTAACAAGCTGAAATTAGCAGAAATAAGTTAGAAGAAGCACAAAAATGTAGAAGTTGGCAGAAAGAATCTAAAAGGAGCACAAAAGAGCTGAAAAAACTGCAGAAATTTGCTGCAAGTAGCTGAAAAAAGTGTACATTTGTACAGGAAGCTGAAGGAAGCTGAACCAGAACAAAATGTGAAAGGAGCAGTAAAAGGTTGTAAACAGATCTAAAGATATAAAGGATGTAAAATGAGCTTGATTCATTTTCTATGAGAATAAAATTATAGAAAAGGCTAAATATTTCAAAAGGCTAAAGTTGCACCATAAATCCTGAAAGAGCTGAACATTTTGATATATGCTGATGCATGCTCATGCTGATGCATTTTGATATATGATTTGTTGAAATAGCACAAAGTTGTGGAACGAGAAAGATTCTGAAAAAGGTACGTAAGAAAACTGGATTACAATAGTGTTAATGCTTCATAAATATTCACACTATTATACTGACAGATTTAAAGAGTATAATTTGATTTCATTACAAAACCAAGTAAAAAGGTACAAAAACTAGAATAATTTTGGGAAAAACAATATCTACTTGTAGTCAGGTAGTTTATCTGTATTGTATTTGTTTGTTTTTCTTTTTGATTATAGCCCTCCAAAGCATAATAACAAACACAGATTTAATAGCAGGCTAGAGACTGTTTTTGTGACAATAATGTTTTTTTTCTCTTTAATATCGCTCGTGTTTTTTTTTTTATTTAATCATAGCGGTGGCGTAATAATTTTTTTGCATTCTTTGATTTTCGCTCTATTTAATCTGTAACTTTAGTTTTATGTTGCATCACTGCTGTGTTCTTGTACTTATTACGCATTTTCCCATATCGTTCTTAATTGTTTTTAGCATGTATTTAAAATTTGTTCAAAAGGAGACTTTAATCTCAGGAGCTCGACTGGATTTAATAAAGACTTGACACTTGAACTCTGTTAATTGGCGTGAAACGGAGAACCTTTGTGGTGAAATAAGCTGATAATCGGTGTGTACCATATTCAATTCATTGCTGTTTTTCTCTTTCAGGCCTGACGGTCGGTTGTTTGAAGCGCAGGAAGAGGAGCAGATGGACAGAGAGCTTCCTGCAGAGATCTTCAGACGACAACTCATCAACAACTTAGCCAAACACGTTCTCTTCAGTAAGAAAAACACAACCTCACAGTCACAAGACACTCTCAAGGAGACCCACTCACAGTCTCACAGTTTTTTAGTTCGTCCTATAAACCTTCCATAATTTTGTTTTCTGAAATCTCAAGCATCTTACGGGTGCACCTGTCTCCAAAGAGAGCACCCATCCTTTCAAACGCTCTCCAATCACAGCCTATCTGTTTTACATCACTTAAGGTGCTTTGCCCTAAAGTAACACTGCAGGAACCGGTTCTCCTCACCGTTCAGCTGCATGCTTCTGCGCCCTTCTTTTTTTTTTTTTTTTAAAGGTTCAGCCAATGACAGAGCTCCCAGATGGATGGCATGTTGTTTTCAGCCAATCAGGAGAGTGAAGGAAAGATAAAGGGGAAAAAATGCAGCACCAGTTTTTTTTGTTCTTCAATGTCGCTTCGCATTGTGGATGAGATGGACTTAAGTAACCTTTAGATGCATTGTTCTGTCATTCATCTGATGTAACATCAAACGTGTTTTTAAAATCTATTTATCTGCTATTTTATTAGCTGACTGCATAGAATGAATTATTTGAATTCAAACCTGGTTATCGTGTGCGTTTTGGATCTTTTTAGCTCGAGCGGTTGAGTGAAACAACCTCCAGCTGTGAATCTTGTTCTGCCAGAAATGTGTTCCTGTGAAAAGGGACAGATTCCTGTGTATCACGGTGTGTCCCCATTAGACCGCATTGTTTTCATGCCACTCCTTTAAACAACGTCATGAAGTGCTAACGTTTTAATTAAGTAGGACTAAATTAGCTAAGCAAAAAAAAGGTTTCAATTTATTTATAAAAAGCTTTTGTTTTACTATATATTTTGGTCGTTTCATACTCAACACTCGTTTGAATTGATGTGTTATGAGTTTGTCTTGCTCATTTTATTATTTTTATATTTCTCCCTCGCAGCGGCTAATAAATCATCAGCGATCATGTCGACCCACATTGTGGCCTGTCTGCTGCTGTATCGACACAGACAGGTCAGCTTTTTCTTCTTCTACCCCTTTCTTTATGTGGCGCATCATCATGTTTCTCCCTTTTTTATTTTTAAGTAACTGACATTTTACTTTTCCATCTTTCCTCATTACCTAATAAGTAAAATAAATCAACTGGTTTTTTTTGTTTTTGCCAAAAACGTTGATCTTTCTGCTTCTTTTGATGCCTCCACTATTCATTTGTGGTGGAGTTCTGCCCTCTACAGGCACATTGATGTAACTGCAAGAACCTGCAAAAAAATTATTTAAAAAAAAAGTTTTTTTCACATACAGATTTAAGGTTTTGAGTTAACGTTTCCGAGTCTGGGTTTTTGTTCATTTTTCCTTCAGGGAGTGGTTCTGTCCAGGCTTGTGGAGGACTTCTTCAACATGAAGGAGGAGATCCTGTCACGAGACTTTGACCTGGGCTTTTCAGGAAACTCCGAGGACGTGGTCATGCGTGCCCTCCACCTCCTGGAAAAATGCGTCAACGTGACCGGCAGCTCCAATCGCAACGGGGAGTTCACCATCGCGCCCGCTCAAACTGTGCCGGCGCTTTTTGAGCTCAACTTCTACAGCAACGGCCTTTTCCTGGTCTTCATTTCTGATGCAATCATTGGTATGGCGAGCCAACAGTTGTATGTGTTTCTGTACTGCATCATCTCTTTTCCAACAGATGGAGTGTTTTGACTCCCTCCACCTTCTGTGTCTGCAGCCTGCAGCATCCTGTCGCTGCAGCGAGAGCTGCTGATGGAATCAGAGTGTGGTCACCCCCCTAAAGATCCCAACAGTCTGCTTCTCAGTCAGGAACGCCTCATCCACAAGGCTGCTGGTCTCTCGCAGTTCCTCATCAATGAAGTGGCTGTGGCGTCTGTAAGTCTTCATTTTGTCTGCACCTTTTCAGGTTTTATACTGTATGAAGTAGAACAAATGAGAGAGGAAGTTTTTTGGAGGTACTTCTGTACAATATTATAATGTTTTATTAGATTTTTCAGACCTTTTTGCTCAATTTTCAGAAACAAACGTTTACAGTTTGATCCCAAACACTAACAGACAGCGTTTTACACAATGTACTTTAGCTTTTTTCCTCTTTTCTGCAGCCCTGCCAGACGATTTGCCAAGTTTTCCATGATGCAGTGACCCGACTGATCCAGTATGGCGTCCTCTATGTGGCCGAAGTGAGTTAACGGACGCCAACACCGCTGCTGACTCACAAAGATTACTGTGATAAAGACGAATAATGATGAGCGTCTTGTGATTTGCTGTTAATTATAACAGTGGGATCTGGTTGATCCAATTTGTTTTTGTCTGTCAGGAGGACCAGGAGGAACTGAGTTCCAGTCCGTCTGAGGAACCGTGGCCCAAAAAGTTCTCTGAGCCCCTTTCCTGGAGAAGTGACGAAGAAGACGAGGACAGTGACTTTGGAGAGGAGCAACGAGATCGCTACCTTAAGGTCAGGTTTTATAAAACCTCTTTAAGAGATTTACGACATTCAGCTTCCAGAGCCGTTCTTGAGCTGTTTGGATTCGTGTGGTGTCAGGTGAGCGTGTCGACGGAGCACCAAGAGTTCTTCAGCTTCCTTCAGCGTCTGCTCAGCCCGGTGCTGGAGGCCTACGGCGGGGCTGCAGTCTTCATCCACAGCTTGAGTCAGCCCATGTCTGAGTCCGATTATACCCAGAGGCTCTTCAAGTTCCTGCTGACGAGAACAGAGAGAGGCGTGGCTGCTTATGGTAACACTGCAGGAATTCATGGCATGCTGTACATTCTGAAGATAAGAATGAAAGGTTGACAGAAAAATGAATACTCAGATCATGTTAGACAGATGTTTTCTTAAAACACTGGCACACACTCAACTCCTATACATAACTATTAGCTGAGCATGCAAACTATTAGCAAATGCCACCATCGCCAGCTCTGAGCTGCTGTGGTAACCACACAAGACCTGGCCGACTGCACTAACACACAAGGAAGGTGGTAAAATCTGTGTGAGCACCTTATATTCTGAAACAGAGTTGTAATAAGCATTCACACTATAGTGATCCTGTTTATATGTATTATAGTTACTAAACTTCTTCCATACGTTTTTAATGAATGGAGTTCATCCTTCATATGTTTAGATCTGTTTACAACCTTTTACTGCTCCTTTCACATTTTGTTCTGGTTCAGCTTCCTTGTGCAAATAAATAAATAAAAATTTATCTTCTTTCAGCTGTTTTTCCAGCTGTTTTCTGCTCATTTTTGCTTTATTCTCACAACATTTGTGTGCTTCTTCTAACTTCTTTCTGCTAATTTCTGCTAGTTTCAGCCTTTTCTGCTATTTTGGCTAATATTTAGCAGTTTTTATGCTAATTTAGGCTTTTAAAGCCAATTCCACTTTTTTTTTTTTTTCACTCGTTTCAACTTTCCAGGCTAATTCAGCAAAAATGTGCTCTCTCCACTTACGTCTAATACATTTTAGCCTTTATTGTGCTGTTTTAGCTACTGTTCAGCTGTTTTTGGCTAATTCAGCTTTTTTCCCAGATAATTTCCACTTTTTTGTGCTCATTTTTGCTTCTTTCAGCTTAATTGGGCACATTTGTGCTCTCTTCACTTCCTTCTGCCAATTTCAGCTTCTTTCTGCTATTTTAGCTACTGTTCATTTGGGTTGTTTTTTTGCCAATTTCTGCCCTTTTCAGATAATTTCAACTTTTTGTGCTAATTTCTGCTTCTTTAAACCTAATTGGGCACAATTGTGCTTTCCTCACTTCCTTCTGCTAATTTAAGCGTCTTTTTGCCTTTTCAGCTACATTTCTGCTGTTTTTTTCTTCTAATTTTAGCTTCTTTTTTTTTATCTAACTCACTATTTTTTTGTGCTCATTTCTTCTTATTTTAATCTAATTCAGCAACTGTGTTCTTTTTGCATTCTTCTGATAACTTTAGGCTTGTTCTTCTATTTCAGCTACATTTCAGCATGTTTGTAGCTCATTTCAGCAAGTTACTCAGATATAAGCATTCACAGCATTTTCGCAGAAAATGCAATTTCTCTAGTTGTGGCTTTGTGACAGTGTCAGGTCATCTGCCCATGTTTCTAAAAGCTCTCTTGAGCACTATGAACTCCCAGTGAATAAAAAACTTTGAAGTTTCTAATGCAGAATATTAATTTAGTTTCAAGGAAAGGTCTACTCATTTTTAAATGAAATCCTCGAACAGTTTGTTGTCAATATATTACAAGTAAATCCGTGAAAACAACAACAACAAACATTATTAAAACACTTCTGAAGCTTTACAAGAGCATAACCTGTAATGGGAATTAATTAATTAACTGCAGCGTTTCTGCCAGCAAGAAACAATCAGTCGACAAGGAAAGACTAAAATGACAAATAAATACACAGTTAAAAGAGCTACCATCCTTTGTATTTTATGGATTATATTTGTTTATTTGTAAATTAAAAGTTTAAATAAATGTCTCATAATTAACTTTGCAGTTCTTTGAAAATTAATTCAACCAACTGTTACTCATTTGTCTTTTTTTGGTTACAACTGCATTAAATTGTCTTTAATATTTAAATACCACTCATAACAAACATTACAGTGGTATTCTAAAATCATCTTTTCATTCAGCAACATCAACGATATTTTTAGTTAGAAAATGTTTACTGCTCCCATGGTTTTTAAATCCAGAATAAAGCTTTTTTTTTGGTTATTTCAAGTCTAAAATAATTAAATGTGTTTACGTATTTGTCAGACTATAAGGTGCACTGGATTATAAGGCACATTGAGCAAAACAAAACAGATAAATCAAACTTAATTCAGCTCATTTACAGTAGCTCTCAACATTGTTCAGTTGTACCATGTAAAATCAGTTTGAGGTCAGTAAACACAACCAGAGTTAATACGTAACGCTCACTGTTGGTTTTTGAGAAAATTAAAGGATTTTAAGTGTACTTTATAGTCTGAAAAATACGGTAATCCTTCTGCTGCCCTTGGGTCAAACAAAAACCTACAAGGCTTCAGTCTTAACACAAGGCCTTGTGGGTCATTTTGACCCAAGGGCAGCAGGAGGGTTTGAGGTTCAAATTCTGGGATCTTGATAACCATACATTGAATTAAATGTATTTATTTTGTCTAAATCACTTGTGATTGTGCGCTTGTATTTTTCAGGTGAAAGTGCAACTCATTATCTGGTGAAGAATACTGTGAAGACTTTCAAAGAGCTTGGGGTAAATATGTTTTTTAGGAATAAAATATACCCATAAACTTTGTGCAGTTGCACAGACTTTATTTAGCGTTGGTGTGCTGTGATGATTGTGCAGGTCCTGAAGGAGAGGAGAGAGAACAGGGTGACGATGCTGGAGCTGAGCAGCACCTTTCTACCTCAGGCCAACCGCAACAAACTCCTGCAGTACATTTTAGGATTCACCCTGATGTGACTGATACACCTTTCAGACGCCAGGCTCCTTCCATTAAAAGGGCTTCTGCTGGTTACTTTGAAAACAATCCCAGGTGCTACTCTGTGGAAAGCTTTACCAGGAAGTGCCTTCACGTAACAGCCGCTAACGGTTAGCTGTTAGCCGTAAGAGACTTGAAGCCAGTCTTTAGTTGAAAATCACATTAATCCATGAAGTGGTAACACACTAGACATAACTTCTTTAAGGACATTGCCTACAAAATTTAAAAAATCTTTTAACAAACAATCGAATCGAGCAAGCTGAAAAAAAAGGAGCAATTCGAACAAAAAAAGTTGCCTTTCAAGTAAATAACTACGGCAACATTTTTATGTTGACTTTTTTGCTTGTTAGGACAAAATGATATAATCTCCTTAGTGCACTTTAATATCAAGCTGTAGGAAATGTTACAACGTAGTTTTCATGACGAGTACATTTTTAAATCAAATCCTTGTAAATAGGTCGCGGTGCGTATAAATACTGACACCCTGCTGTCATGACTGAAAGACTTAGCTGAGAGGGTGTGTCCCAGCAAACGTGCACAAATTCAGTTTTTTATGAACAAAAACGTTCTTCCGTTCCGTTACAAGTTTGAGTTATCGCAGCAAAGTGGTTCGACCTTAGTCTGATGGAAATCTGGCAAAGTCGTGCCTAAAATCGTTGATGTTTCAAGTAAAAACATTCGACCCACAGATCTCTAAACGAGAAGAGGTTTGATTAAAAAAATGAAAATTTCAAAGCATGTCACAACGCACAGCATATGAAATGAATAAAACCAGCCATCACATCAACACGCAACTCAGACACACTTGGTTTTCAGGGAAACAAGCTCTGCTGGGGAGTAAAACTTTGCTCCAATAGCTGTAAAACGAAACTTTGTTATAATTTAGTAAAAATGAATGGTACAAAGAAAAGCCAGCTATTTTGATGATAGTTTCTGTAGTGATGTGAGGAGCAGTGAGTTAGTTTTTATTTTTATTTTATTTGGTAATGTTAAAAGTTTCCAGGAGAACTGTATGATTACAAAAAAAAGGTAGAAACTCATTTTAATCTCTCAGTATGTAAATCTCGATAATTTACATTTTACTTTTGTGTCAAAACGCATACGAATAAAAACCGTGGTCAGTCAGGTTTTGTCAAATAGATTATGATTGTATTTTATTTTGAACTTGAACTTTAATGTAAAATATTTAGGAGTACACAACTTTGAAGGGTCAAAACCGTTTGAGGAATTATGATTGGTTGGATTACTAATCTCAAACAGACTAAAGAAATATAGGAAGCAGATTAATATAAACATTAGCAACAATGCTTAAAATACTGCTGGTTTCAGTTATTTTTTATGAAATAAAAATTTTGTTTTTTTTTGCTTATTTTTAAGCAATTTGTCAAGTCTGTGTACAAATCCACCCAGACTGATCAGTGAAAGGCTTGTTGAGGAGCAAAGTAACCTAAAAGGCTGCGAGCTGGAAGAATGATGAAACTCTGAGAGCGTTTCTGAGCCCACAGACTGTTACAGGACCCCCTCAGCCTGGAGAAAACCACTAAACTGATCAGAGCTGCATGTTTCCTCTGGTCGCCTTTTGCTCTTCAATTTCCTTAATCCGCCAACATCGCCGTGCGTGAGTATGTTAGACAATTGTTGAAAATATGTTGAATGTATCTTATCTGTCTAAAATGGACAGTTTGATGCGACTACTGGAAGGCATCGGTACAAATAAAATAAGGTTTATATGAACTGTTGGTGAGATTAATTGTTACATAACGTCTCACTTTAATCTATGTATTAATGTAAAAAAAAAAGCCTGTATCTGGGAGCCGTTTGCCTTTTATTTTTTCACTCTAGTGTTTCTCGGTTTCTGATTTTTCTGCATGGGCACCACTTGTTTTATTTGTAACTTAAAAAAAGGTAGATCATTAACAAAAAAGCAAGTGGAGAGAATTTTTTCTGTTAAGAATAATTACCAGCTACTAAAGGTTGTTTTTTTTTTTAGCTGTTGCTCATTCAGAGCACAGCTCAACTGGCATTAGATGTTTTTAATTAAATAAATGGTTAACAATTATCTGTTTCTATTATGTTTAGAGGCGCGACTGATGGTGATTGGAAATACCCTGCAGGTTAAATTAACTAATTATTTGTTCTGGCTATTCAAACAGTTTGTAAACGGTGTGCAACACGATGTGTAGATGTGCCACAAACGTGTGGGAATCATTTAAAACAATGTTAGAATGTACATGGAAACATGCTGTATGTAGCAGCTTCACATTCTTGAAGATTAAAACACAGTACTGTGCAAAAGTGTTGAGTCGTTGCCAATTTCTTGATATATATATAGATATATATATATATATATAATATACAGCAGGGCTATTCAACTGGCGGCCCGGGGGCCAAATCAAGCCCACGGGCGTGCTCAGTTCAGTCCAACAATGGGTTCACTTTAAAATAAAACAAGATTTTAATTTTTTTTTTTCATTCAACCTTTATTTAAACAGATAAATCACATTGAGCCTAAAAGACTCATTTATAAGTGAGACCTGTTTGGACAAACAAAAAAAGTGGTCAAATGGAGACATGTAGGAGTTTGAGGTGACAAAATTCCTATCAAGACTTTTTTTTTTTTTCCTGCCTGAGGAAAAAAAATCGTATTAAAAAAACACCTCGCACAAACAAGCACATAGTGACATAGACATTCTGCAGAGGGGGGAGCCGAGAGCAGTGAGATGTTCATAGATGCTCTCAAGGGCACTGTAAGAGTTCTGATAAAGATGTAATAATCAGCCAATGTCCTCCGGTGAGATCCATAAACATTGTCGAGGAATGGCCAAGAATAACTTCTATGAGAATCCAAGAGTCCTGAAATGATGACACAAAGTTTATTCAGCTGGTTCCATCTGGTTATCAGTTGGAAATTCCTCAGGGAGGGGGTGGTGAGCGTCAGATCACATTTTCTCCAGGGGAATCCAGATTCAAATCATAAAACAAACTTAATGACAATAACTGCTGGATGTCCGGCCCCTGAGCTCTTGGCTTTTAGTAATTGTGGCCCCCTGAGCAATTTAATTGAATAGCCCTGTACAGTACATCAACGTCAAGGTTCTTTATTGTCATTGGCATTACATGTGGTACATGTGGTGGAATGAACTTGTGTACACAGGGTCCCAGTTACATCCAACAAAAGTATAAATTGTAAAAGAAAAACAGTAATAAGATATAAGAAATACACTAAACTAAGAATATGCTAAACACTAAATAGTACAAAAACAACAGCAGCATAAACATGAGTCTGTGAGCAGATCAGTATGAATGAACACAGCAGCTTGAAATAAATCGGCAACATGAGATCAGCAGCATGGATAATCAGCAGCACATATCAACAAGCAAAGTGGTATTACAGTGATAATCCTGATTAAGGATTCATGAGTGCTTCAGGGTAGAAGCTGTTCCTCAGTCTAGTGGTTCTACACTTAATGCTTCTCAACCTCCTGCCTGAGGGGAGCGGGGCGGAAAGTGTGTGTGCTGGGTGAGTGGAGTCCTTCATGATGCAAGGCTCTCTTCCTATATTTGGAGGTTAGATGACTCCTTCCATTAAAAGTGTGATAGCTAAGTGTTATATCTGTTTTTACTTATACTGATAATATAATGTATATAATACGGTTTTAGCCTGTCCGTGTGTGCTCATTTTTTCTGTTAGTAAAATATCTCGTGAACCGCTTGATGGATTTTGATGAAAATCTCCAAGTTATCATTTAATGTACATCTGCAACTGATCCAAGTCAAGATGGCTGCTGTCTTGTCTTAGAAAACAAAAATGTCAATAACAGTCAGCTTTACTCATACTGACCCAGAGGTTTGCTCGGTTGTCACCGTCATCCTCATCACAAAATCACATGAGGTCGAGCGCATCATTTACATGGTTTGACCTAAACAGCTGTAACTCCATCCCTTCATATAAGGTGACGTTATTGTGCTGCTTTTAGGCCTCATGCTTCTTTTTTCACAATGTACTGCACATAAACTCAAAATAAATCTCTAATCCTGAGGATTATAAAAACTATAAACTAGTTCTTGAAGCAAAAAGTGTAAAGAAATTAGCGGATGTTAAATCTTTTGCATGAACTCACATGTTTCAGTGTGAGGATGAGGAGGAGGGAGGCACGGCCGCTCTGGGTGGGAGGACTGGAGCAGGATGTAAGGAGCAGAGTCGAGCTGAAGTCTCAGTGATGATGAAGACTAAACGGAGACGACACGTTTCTGTCCTTCTACCCAACAAGCAGCACCTGGACTGTTCTGTCAGCGTGAGTCGGCTTCAGGACGTTTTATAACTCCTAATGCATCACTTTGAAATTAGCTTCTTTAAGCTCTTTGTATTTACAAGTAATGCAACGACGTGAGTTTAACAGTTAGAAGACACAATGCATCCTTGTGATAAAGTTTAAGCTTTTGGGTTAGATGTATATCTTTTATGTTGTTTGTGTTTTCTGATGTATGATTGACAGGTGAGAGCCAGGGGTCAGGAGGTCATGAACTCTGTGCTGCGTCAGCTCGGTGTCAGTGATCTCCAAGTGTTTGGTCTCGGTGTCCTCAGAGGTATGTTGGTGTAAGGGTGGTATCTTGGGAACAAATGTTTTTCCTTCATTTACTGTGGAACGCTGGGATTTAGGGAGGAGATGCAAAAAAAAAACCTACAAAAAACAGAAACCGTGACCTCTGTCTTTGTTTTCCTTGTGTAGATTTAATGCGTTTGTTTTGTTTTTGTCAGATAATGAATATCTCTTTCTTGATTTGACAAAAAAATTGAGCAAATACTTCAACAAAAGATGGAACAGAGGATATTTAAGGGTTAGTAGATGATTTTAAAAAATCCATTAGATAATTCCCAATCAGTAAATATTCCCTGTCCCTGCAGGTCCCGTTCATCTTGTTTTTGAGAATCCAGTTCTACGTGGGAAGTGGGCTGCTAATACTGTAAGTACTTGTTTCCCATGGTTATGGTCAAAAGGCTTCAGTCAACGTTGGGTTTTATCTTGTTTCAGGAGCAGCAAAGTGCAGCAGCTCTACTTCACAGAGCTGAGGCAGAAAGTGCTGTGTTCACAGAGCTACCATCAGGAAGCTCTGCTCTTCCAGCTGGCAGCTTCGGCGCTCCAAGCTGAAGTCGGAGATCAGGAACTGAGAGAAGAGGCGGACAACGAAGGAAGAGAAGCGGAACAGGAAAGAAAACATTACTTCCTTCCAGAAGATTACTTCCCCTTTTGGGTAAATCACAAAAAAGTGAATCCTTAGGGGGGAAAAGCTAGAATTAGCATTTAAAATGTCATGGCCGATAAATGAAACGTTGCAAGGTTTCAGATAAAGACTTACCGGTAATAGTTTAGAAAACACTGCAATTATTTACTATGAATAAAAGGCCTAGCATTCCTTAAAGGAATGCATATTACCCCTCAGTGTTAAATTTAAATCATCTGCTTGCGTTTAAAAATTACGTGTAAAATTACTCTCAGCTACATCCCATCAAACATTAGCTCAAAGTACTGTATATGCATTTTGAGTTACAGACATTTTTTTGTTGGATGAGCCTGGTTAGCTGTGGCAGACATCTTGAATTGGGTTGACTCCAGAAGTTAAACAGTGATAGACATACATCAAATAATTAGTTTCCAAGAGCTTCATTAAGATATGTTTAGTGATTCATGAGATACTTTGCCAACAGACAGATCCAGACACATTTAATGGCTTCCAGTCCATTTTAGAATTGATTTTAAACTTTTATTATTCATTTTTAAAGCTCTTAACAGTCTCGCGCCATCTTATTTAGCTGATTTTGTAGCTTTTTGTGAGTATGAGTGGACCTTAAGGTCCAATGGTACGTTTTGACTGTTTGTCTCAAAGTTCACATACAAACGTTGGTGTAACTGGGCCTTTTCAGTCGCTGCACCCAGACTCTAGAACCAACTACGTCAGGACTCGTGCTCTGTCACTGATCTGAGACTTTTTAAATCATTTTTATTCAGGCAGGATTTTAATACCTCATGGTGCTTTGGCATTATTGCATTGTTGGGGAATGCCATGCAAATGTATGGCAGGCACCTATTATTCTACACCTCAGAAGGGTGTCTACATTTCTATCTCCATTAATGCGGCCTGAACCACAGCGTCTACCCCCACAAAAGTTATATCAAAACGACCGTCTCGGCCCCGTGATGTGTGCTATTACTTCTATTGGCATTCGCAGTTACCATGACAACATATTTTGCTAACAAAGATTCCAAATTTCCCATAGGAAATGAATAGGAGAAAACTCTTCACAGAAACTGAGTAACTTATGGAGCCATTTTGGTTCAACATGCAAGGAAGGCAGTGCATTATGCAATGCATGAAAGGCACCTAATTTTACCTATTATCACCTAAAATTATTATTTATTAGTAATAATAACATCAATTATTAATTATTCATCTTAATATTATCAATACCAATAAATATTAATATTAACAATTAATATGTAATATTAACAAGTAATATTTAATATGGATTATTAATATGAATGTTATTGTTTGTTAATAATATATAAAAATAATTAATAACTTAATAATATATTAACAATTAATAATTAGTATTAATTATTAATATTGATATTTATTATTTGTAATAATTTAATAATAAATTGGCAGTCCCCGTCAAAGTTTCTCCAAGAACTTTCTAGTTTTTATTGTTGTTTGTGTTTAACTTGTGAACTGTGAAGCACATGTTGGCTGTTGCAAAGGGCTAGATAAATAAATGTTGATTGATTGATTGATTGATTGATTGATTATTTTTTAGCTCAGTACCTGAATATCTGGTTTTTAGTCCCAGAATTTTGGGCCTAACCTTTGTGCGTTTTTGTTTCAGGTTACCTTGTAGGGGCCAATTTTACAAAAAAATCATGCATTGTGGGAACCAACTGCTCTTTATGGGGACCAAAGGCAGGTCCTCAGAAGGAGAAGTCTCGATGGGGGTTTAGGGGTTAGGTTTAGGACTAAGGTGTGAATTGCAGCTAGGTTGTGGTTAAGGTTAGACATGTACTAGCAATGGTTAGATTTAGGGTAAGGGTCAGGGTTAGGCCATAGAAAATGAATGGAAGTCAATGCAAAGTTCCCAAAAAGTAAGTTTACAAGAACGTGTGTGTGTGTGTCAGCTGATTAAACGCAGAGGCAGGGACTACCTGCTCCGACACAGTCCGACTTTGCACAGCGAGCTGAGAGGTTTGTCTCAGAGCCGGGCCGTCCTTCAGTTTATTAAAGAGTCCAGCAGGCTGCAGGATGGAGCTGTGACCTTCTACAGGATGAAACAGGTCTGACTCCAAGTTTACATGAATTAAATGAAATCAGATAAACTTTGTACTTCATTGAATGAATATGCCTGCTGCAGTTAGTTTTATTTATTTTTATATTTGCACTTTGATTTTATTTTTACCCCCTCATGTTGATTATACGCAGGACAAAAAGGAGAAGAGAAGTTCAATCCTTCTTGGTGTGGCAGGAACCGGAGTTCATGTTTATCTGGTGGTCCATGCGTTTTTATACATAAAACTTTACTGAGTGTTTGAGCAGAATGAACATATACATTTATTTTTACTGAGTCAGTCTTGAATATTTATGTGATTTCCCCCCTAAAGGATATGGAAGGAAAGCACTGTGCCATGTTTGATTTTTCCTGGCCTGATATTGACCACCTAACTTTCCAGGTTGGTTTTCAAAGCTGTAAACTAGCAGCGCACAAGAATTTCTTGTACGTTCACTCAAAAACTGTTTTTGACGTTTTGATCTCCAGGGCTGCAGGTTTGAAATTGGTGTTGTTGCTTCTCTGGGCCTCCCTAAGCTGGTGTACTACACTCGTTCTGCCGTCCACTCAGAACACATCCTGAGGCACCTCAGAAACACCCACCAGTTCCACATCAGCACCAGGGCTGCAGCTGGATGCATCCAACAGCTGGAAGACTTGCAAGGTCAGCAACCTCAGACGCAGCTCCTTCATTAGTGACGTGTTCTTCTATGTTTAGATCTTCTGTCAGTCACTCCAAATGTGTGATTTTTCTGCTCATCAGCCTCCCACTTCCACAAAGAGGCCTACATATGTGACGTGGCAGGGTTAAGACAGAGTCTCAGCTGCTCTTACCTCACATCCTCCACGTCTGACTGCAGTGCTGCAGTGGAAACTGTCACAGTCTGGACCGAAGAAGAGGAGGAGGGCTCATCAACAGGTCAGCTGAAAGGAGAAAATATTTTTTAGATGGAACAGCATCACTCAAACTCTTGTTTCTGTTCATCTATAAAGTTGTGACTGTGTCTCCTCTGTTGACAGAGGTTGAGTTGTCGGTGGATGAACCAGAAGAGGTTTTTGTTGACAACCCAGCTGAGGTGCCCTGGCTGGCTGAGATCCTCCACAGTGTGTCTGTAGATGAGCCTTTAATGGTGCCCTCCTCATCCTGGGCAGGTTGGTCCAATACAAACATTTCAGTGGCGTGCGCTTCAGTTCTCGCCCATCATACAATTTAACCTCTTCTTGTGTTTTCAGCCATCACCATGGAAATGAAGCAGGTGAGTCAAAAACGGCTCTTCCTGTTGGAGAGCTTGGTTCTCCCTTAAAGGTAGTTCTGTTTTCTGTGGTGTTCAGGTTCTGTGGAGGAGAGCAGGTGAAAGAGCATCGGTGGATTGATTTACAGCCGTAGAGGAAAGGGGCTCTTCACGTGCGGCACCTCAAGACAAAAAGACACCAGATTTTTGTGCACTGGTTCTTAAATATCTGTGACGCATATGACTCGTCCAGTGTGAAATGATCAAATCAAAACTAAACACCAAACCTAATTAATTTGAATTAAATACTACCAGTGTTGCATAAAGTACCTCAAAGTGAAACTTCAGTGAAAGTACAAGTATCTTACCATAAAATTACTTTGGTAAATGTTAAAGTCGCCTTTAAAATTTTTACTTAAGTAAAAGTCAAAGTATCGGACATTTAATGTACTTAAGTAGCGAAAGTAAATTTATCTTCTAAAATGTACTTAAAGTAAGAGTACTAAGTAAAAATAAATAGTTAGAATTTCCAAAACAGCATTTATTGGGTGCAATATCCAGTGACAAAAACTTGGAAAGTTTGAACTGAACAATGAAAGATTGCTCTTTAAAAAGTCTGATTCTAATGACGTATATTCATTCAACCTTTATTAACCTTTATTAACCTTTATTAACCTTTATTAACCTTTATAAACAAAGCTGTTAGAAAGCCCACATTGTTGAGTAGTTGACTTGTTTACTGAGCTTGGTTCTGTTTGGTTATGGCTCATTTCCTTCTGACTAATTAATAATATAGGATCTATTATAGGACAATATAATAGCACAGGAACTAATAGTTCCTATGCTCTTGAAGCAGTTCATGTCCTGGAGAACACCAAACTTCTCCTTTTTAGCAGCTCCTGTCATTTTCACACCTATCAGGGATGTGTCTCCACTGTGAGTCAACAAAAAAGACTTATTAAAAAGACTATCTGTATATGCATCTAGCTTGTTCACAGCGGTAGCTGCAGGATTCACATAAGCGGTGGAGGAGAGGCTGGTGGACTGGGAGAACAAACTGGCATTGCTCAATCAGATTTCTTCTAATTTAAAATTGTAGTAGTTAGTAACTAAGATGGTTAAGGGAAATTTATTGAAGTAAAAGTACACATTTTATTGAGGAAATATAGTGAAGTAAAAGTGAAAGTCGCTAGAAATGTAAATACCGAAGTAAAGTAAAAATACGTCAAAATTCTACTTAAGTACAATAACTAAGTATTTCTACTTTGTTACATTACAACACTGAATACTACCTGGACTTGGAAAATTGCACATATGAATCATTTAACCCATTATTAACCGGCCACTTTTCAGTTTAATTGAAACAGAGTGGGTCATTGTTACTGTTTGACACATTTTTACAGTATTTGTTCCAAAGCAGTGATAGATTTGAGTTTGTTGGCTTATGATCTAGGAAGGGATGTTCTCAAAAGTCAGTGTTCTTTCTTTCTTTTTATCTACAGCTCATCAGGGCACGTTTATTGTCTTCTAGATTAAAAATCACAGTTATCAGTTTTCCACTAAAATTTACACTCATCCCCACTTCCTTCACACCTGGCAGCATGTTCATACTGACAACAGCTCTTTTGCTTGTTTAATAAATGTACCTGTTAAAAAAATAATTTGTTGTATGTTATCATGATGCATGCTCAATAATCCAGGTATACAATCCAACAATTTTCAGTCAGGTCATCTGGACAGTTTCTTTTTATGGACTATTTTTGTTTTGAACCAGTTTGACATGACTGTCCATGAGGAAGAGGGCCGGCATCGGAGGATGGGGCGTGCCAAAGACACCATCTTAGTACCAACATAACTGGTTTGTTCCACTTTGGAGTAAGCTGTTTGGGGGAATAATCAGTTTTGTTGTGTGTTTCCTTGACTGATGAAGCCTTCTGGATGGAAGGTGAAACGTTTCAGCAAAAAAATAAACTGTCCAGATGACTTGACTGAAAATTGTTGGATTGTATACCTGGATTATTGAGCATGGACTATTGTTGTATGTTCTTCAGCAGAACAGATCTGCTTACGTCATCGAGAAGTTGACCAATCAGGGTGGCGAACAGCCCCCAAACACGGAAGCAGCTCAGTCGGCTGCTAAAGTTAAACTGAAAGCCCTTCTTTTCGAAACATTTACGCGCAATAAACGTGAATGTCATTTTAAAGTGTGTCAAACAGAGAATCATTACATCACATTTTTTGCTATAATGGGCTTTTCGTGGACTCACGTACTAGTGCCGCTTTGTTTAGCGGTTATATTTGTGACTTTTGCTGTCAACGAACAACTTCCGGGTGAGTATCCTGAAGATAAAAACACAGTAATAATGTGTATAAATGATGTGAGAGCCGCTAATACGAGTACTGAAGGAAACTAAAGGGGTTTGCCTTGACTTGAAATAAAAACGGAGAAATTTCGATGGACAGCGCCCCCACCAGCCTCAAACAATTCTTGTGTAACCTTTTTTGTAACTTCCCTGCAGCAATGCCTCTGCTCGCTGCGGTGTGCGCCCTGTCTCTGTCCGGGATGGCACTGATTTGGAGAGACATTAGCTCCAGGGTGAGGCGTAAAAACAGGACGGTGAGCAGCCTTTTGGGCCAGTATGCAGCCATGAAGGTTGTGGGCTGGTTGGGAAGGCGGCAGAGGAGGAAACTTGAAGCAGACACGCTGAATGTGAAGCAAGTTCAGGAGGAGACTTTGCTCAAGCGACTGCGTAAAAACGCAGACACAAGTTATGGAAGACGGTACGACTTCATCTCTATTACAAGTAAGGAGAAGGACTTGTGAGTATGTATGTTCTTAATGAGAGAGTGTAGTAATTATGTTGCTACAATATGGTGGATTTCTATTCAATTTCTGTTTAAAACTGAAGCCTGGGTATTTTGCCAGTATTACACAAGAACAAGAACACTTTAAATTCATTTATTCATACAATTAAAAGAAACAAAATAAATCCATTAAAAAGAAAAAGCATTGAATGAAAATGGTGCAGAAAGCAGAAGACAATTCTTATAATATCTACCCCTTATTTAAAAAAACAAAATAACTACAAACAACAATTTAGGACTGAGCAATCTCCAACGTGAAAACAAAAATATTAGGCATGCCTCACATGGCACCATACTTTCCCAACAATTTCAACTTAATCATCTGTTTAAACATATAAATTGTTTTAGAAATTTAGGTGATATCAAGGCAATTCCATAATCCTATTCCCTGAATTACAACGCAGCTCCTTCAGACTAGTTCTAAATGGAGGTTTTACAAACTTTTCCATTCCCTTAAGGTTATAATGACTCTCTTTTTTTAACACATTTTAATTGGATATTTGGGGGTAATTTTTTATGAGCTTTATACATGACTTGTAAAATACTATATTCAACCAAATAATAAATTTTTTATAATTTCAACTGATTAAATAATATACAGTGTATTTGTTGGGTGACCATAGCACTTCCTACTAATAATTTTTGTACAGTGCCTTGCAAAAGTATTAGTCTCCCTTGAACTTTTCAACCTTTTGCCACATTTCAGGCTTCAAACATAAAGATATAACATTTAAATTTTTTGTGAAGAATCAACAACAAGTGGGACACAATCATGAAGTGGAATGAAATTTATTGGATTTGTCAAACTTTTTGAACAAATAAAAAACTGAAAAGTGGGGCGTGCAATATTATTCGGCCCCCTTGCGTTAATACTTTGTAGCGCCACCTTTTGCTGCAGTTCCAGCTGCAAGTCTCTTGGGGTTTGTCTCCATCAGTGTTGAACATGGAGACACTGAAATTCTTGCACATTATTTCTTGCAAAACAGCTCGAGCTCAGTGAGGTTGGATGGAGAGCGTTTGTGAACAGCAGTCTTCAGCTCTTTCCACAGATTCTCGATTGGATTCAGGTCTGGACTTTGACTTGGCCATTCCAACACCTGGATACATTTATTTGTGAACCATTCCATTGTAGATTTGGCTTTATGTTTTGGATCATTGTCTTGTTGGAAGATAAATCTCCGTCCCAGTCTCAGGTCTCTTGCAGACTCAAACAGGTTTTCTTCCAGAATGGTCCTGTATTTGGCCCCGTCCATCTTCCCATCAATTCTGACCATCTTCCCTGTCCCTGCTGATAAAAAGCAGGCCCAAACCATGATGCTGCCACCACCATGTTTGACAGTGGGGATGGTGTGTTCAGGGTGATGAACTGTGTTGCTTTTACACCAAACATATCGTTTTGCATTGTGGCCAAACAGTTCTATTTTGGTTTCATGTGACCAGAGCTCCTTCTTCCACATGTTTGGTGTCTCCCAGGTGCTTGTGACAAACTTTAAACAACACTTTTTATGGATATCTTTGAGAAATGGTTTCTTCTTGCCACTCTTCCATAAAGGCCAGATTTGTGCAGTGTACGACTGATTGTTGTCCTGTGAACAGACTCTCCCACCTCAGCTGTAGATCTCTGCAGTTCATCCAGAGTGATCATGGGCCTCTTGGCTGCATCTCTGATCAGTCTTCTCTTTGTTCCAGATGAAAGTTTAGAGGGACGGCCAGGTCTTGGTAGATTTGCAGTGGTCTGGTACTCCTTCCGTTTCAATATGATTGCTTGCACAGTGCTCCTTGGGATGTTTAAAGCTTGGGAAATCTTTTTGTATCCAAATCCGGCTTTAAACTTCTCCACAACAGTATCTCGGACCTGCCTGGTGTGTTCCTTGGTCTTCATGATGCTCTCTGCGCTTTGAAAAGAACCCTGAGACTATCACAGAGCAGGTGCATTTATATGGAGACTTGATCACACACAGGTGGATTCTATTTATCATCATCAGTCATGTGGGACAATATTGGATCATTCATAGATCCTCACTGAACTTCTGGAGTGAGTTTGCTGCACTCAAAGTAAAGGGGCCGAATAATATTGCACGCCCCACTTTTCAGTTTTTTATTTGTTAAAAAAAGTTTGACACAACCAATAAATTTCATTCCACTTCACGATTGTGTCCCACTTGTTGTTGATTCTTCACAAAAAATTTAAATTTTATATCTTTATTTTTGAACCTGAAATGTGGCAAAAGGTTGAAAAGTTCAAGGGGGCCGAATACTTTCGCAAGGCACTGTAGCTCTTTTTTTGTTAAATGAAAATAGGGTTTGTAATTGTTTTGCATGCTTTTCCTCAAACTTCAATACAATAGATTAAATATGGAACAATGATTACATTGATATACAAATGTTTGTCATTCAAAAACTCTTTTACTTTATACAGTAATGAAATTGATTTTGCTACTTTTATTCTTAAGTAATTTACTTGAGATTTCCATGTCAGCTTCTCATCAATAATGACACCCCAAAATTTTATTTCATCAACTCTATGAATTTCAATACTGTCAATTTTAAATGGGATGTCAATAATTTTGTTTCTGTTACTAAATATCATGTAGTTTGTTTTTCCAAATTTAATGATAACTTATCAAGTTAGAAGCAAGTTTGTATTTGTATGAATTCTGCCTTTATCATGTTTAACATCCGTTCAATGTCTTCACCCAAACAAAAAAAATGTGGTATCATCTGCAAATAAAACACACTTCAAAAGCCCTGACACATCAACCAGATCATTCACATACAAAACAAACAACTTTTGTCCCAACATAGAGCCCTGAGGAACTCCACATCCATTAACACAAAATTCAGATCGCACATCATTTACCTGTACAAACTGGCTCCTATTATTCAAATAACTATAACCACTGTAGTGCTAATCCTCTAATGCCATATTTATTCAGTTTTTCAAGGAGAATGGTGTGGTCAATAGTGTTGAAGGCCTTTTTTAAATCAACAAAAATGCTAACACAATAGTTTTTGATCAACAGCATTTGTTATCTCTTCTATTAGTTCCATGAGAGCCGTTGATGTTGAATTATTTGCTCTAAACCCATATTGACTATTGCTTAAATTATTGTGTTTATCTATGAATCAATCTAATCTGGTTATAAATAATTTCTCTAATATTTTTGAAAATTGTGGCAACAAGGATATTGGTCTGTAGTTAGTGAACACACTTTTCTCACCATTCTTATAAAGAGGAACTCTCTTTGCTATTTTCTTATTTTCTGGAAATTTTCCTGTTGAAAATGATAAATTACATATATCTGTAAATTGTTCAATAACATAACTCATTGGAGTGGTGGCGCAGAGGTTAGAGAGGTGGGCTTGTGATCCGAAGATCGCCGGTTCACGCCCCGGCCCCGACAACATCAAAAAATGTGGGTGGGGTAGGTGAAACACCCACACTTGCCCCCACCCTCATTCGCCCCACCTTGGGCCCATGAGCAAGGCCCTTAACCCCCACCATGTGCTCCCTAAAAAAACAGGTCTCTCTTGAAAATGAGTTCTCGTGGCTCAATGAGACTAACCTGGATAAATAAAGGCTAAATGAAAAAAAAAAAATGAAAAAATTATATCCTTTACAAACGTCATGTCCATGTCCATCCAGTCTTCTGATCTTTTATCTGCAAGATTTTTTACAGTACTCGGTATTTCTTCTTTATCAGTGTTACTGAAAAAAAATGCTGTTGGCACAACCCATGACATCTTCACTGTAATGTTGGAATGATGTTTTGATAACTTTGAGATTCTTCAAATAGAAACGTTTGTAATGTATCAGATGCTGATGATTTCCGAGCTCGCCACCCGCTTACCTCATATGAGCACTATTCAGAGCTCATCAGACGTGTTGCAGCTGGAGAAGAGAAGGTGATTATTGCTGAGAAGCCGCTGATTCTGGCCATGACCTCTGGGACGTCCGGATCCAGCTGCATGCTGCTCAGCACCAAAGATACCAACACTGAGTTCTTCATGCAGGTGAGGCAAATGATGTCTGTCTTAGTAAGAACCATGCGTGCAGTTCATGTAAACATAAAGAATAAACGTGTTTCTTCCATCAGGGTGTGACTGTTTGTTTAGACGCCATGCGACAGGCCTTCCCTGAGACGGACAGCCTTCAGCGCACCACCAAATTCTTCTACAACCCCACGTTTCGTCAGTCTGAAGCGGGAATCCCCATCGGACCAAACTCATCCACGCCAGCCTCGTCCCGCCACACACTTAACCTCTACACGACTCCAGCTCCTGCCTTTGAGGTGCACTCAGCAAGTCTCAAGTGTTAGCCAGCCCCTTTGTTTTATATTTATTTTTATGAAAATGTTCTTTATTACGTCAGGTTCCCAGTGAGAAGGACGCCCTATACCTGCACCTCCTGTTTGCGCTGAAAGATCCAAGTGTGGGAACGCTGGAGTCCAACTTTGCTTCCACAGTTTTCTACGCTTTTACAGCCCTACAGGTGCACGCTCGAATGTCAGGAGAACTATTATGTTGGGTTACTTATGCTTCTTTGTAACATTTTTATCATTTTTATGCACAACAAGGTGTAAAATGACTTAGTAAATGTGTCAGGTCTTTTTAGATGTATTTTATTTGCAGATGATACAACTTTTTTTTGTCAGGGTAAAGATATAGAACAAACGCTGAAATGACACAAATAGAATTTGTGAAAATTCAAAATTGGTTTCATCTTAATAAATTATCATTAAATCTAGATAAAACATATTATATGATATTCAGTAATAGTAAAAGAAAAGTTGATGCTCCATTTATGGTAGAAGGAACTGAGATTCTTAGAGTTAATGAGGTGAAGTTCTTGGGTGTTATTATTGATGAAAAATTGACATGGAAATCTCATATAAATAACTTAAGAACAAAAGTAGCAAAATCGATAGCAATTCTGTACAAAGTAAAGGAGTTATTTAATGAAAAAGCACTATTTATGTTGTATAATGCACTAATTGTTCCTCATTTAAAATACTGTATCGAAGTCTGGGGTAAAGCATGTAAAACAATTACAAACCCACTTTTTATTTTACAGAAAAGAGCAGTACGAATTATCACCAGACAAAAATTAAGACATCCATCAAATATATTGTTTTGTCAACTCCAGATATTGAAATTTTATGATTTGGTCAATTACAGCATTTTGCAGATTATGTATAGGGCCCATAAAATCATATTGCCCATCAATATTCAAGTACATTTTATTAAAAGGGAGAGTGTTTATTTTCTTAAAGGGATAGAAATGTTTGTGAAGCCTTATTTTAGCACTAGTTTAAAAGAACGATCCTCTGTAATCCAGGGGATAGGATTATGGAATGGTCTGGACGATACATTTAAAAATGCCAGATCTCAACATATATTTAAGAGAATGTTAAAGGAGAGTTATTTGACAGAATACAAAAAACTCCAAATTGAATCCACTAAAGTTATTGTTTGAGTTGATGATGTTGTTCTTTAGTTGATCTTGTTTTTAAATCACTGAAGTTGTTGCACATCTTGCTTTTTGTTTTTGTTTGGTAACAAGACAGTAAGGGTAAAAAAGGGGCAGATATTATAAGATTAATTCTTCTTCTGCTGCCTTTCATTTTATTTTGACTGTATGCATTTTTTTTCATTTTTTTTGAGTTGTTATGGTTTTAATGCAATGAAATGAATAAATTAAATAAAATAATAATAATAATAATAATGTTAGGGTAAAAGTTAGAATTTTTTTTGGCCACTAACTGATATTTGTTTTTGTAGCATGTGTTATTCATTTTGTAAAATACATAGGTAATTTTTATGTTCATTATAATGTTTTTAAAAATTTTAAGCAGCAGAACTCTTGTTATTTAGCTTTTCTATTAAATGCACACATTTCTGTCTCAGTCAGTCATGTTCTTGTTAAGTTTGATGCAGTCTTGAGTCAGTTTTCAAACTCATTGTCTGTGAACTTAAATGTTTTTAATGAGTTTCATAAAAAATAAATAAATAAATAAATAAAGGAAATTTCCATCTTTTAATCCCACAGGAGCGTTGGCAGGAGCTAGTGGAGGACATCGAACAAGGAAAAATCAGCACAGCCTTGCCTCTCGAGGCCAAAGTGAGGGGCAGACTTGAAGCACTGATGAAGCCAGACCCAGAGAGGGCTGCTCACCTCCGGGCCCACTTCCAGGAGGGTTTCAGGGGGATTGCCAAGCGCCTTTGGCCTCATCTCCACCTGGTGCTGGCGGTGGACTCAGGCTCCAATCAGATATACGGCGAAATCTTGAGGGAGCGTTACTGCAAAGCAGTGCCTTTCTATTCACCATTTTATGCTGCCACAGAAGGTACAAACACCTACAAACACATAATAACTTGCCCCTGGGACTGTATGAACGACAACTCAGAACTGGTCCAGTTACATAAGCCAAGGACGGGGTCATTAAACTGATAAAAATAGAATAAATTCAGGTCCATCTGTTAATAAAGTGGTAAACTTTTGCCCAAATTAGTCGTCTCCAAATCGAAAGCCTCATGCTAGAGTAAAATTAGTTCCTATTCTTAATTTGGGCCCCTGCAGGTCTTATAGGAGTGAACCTGTGGCCTCAGGAGCCCAACAAACGATACCTGCTGTGTCCTCGCTCGATGTTCTGCGAGTTCCTGCCAGAGCGCAGCGTGGACGAGGAGACGCCACAAACTCTGCTGATGGAGGAGGTGAAGGAGGGAGAGAGTTACGAGCTTGTTATCACAAACGCTGCAGGACTTTTCAGGTCTGGTCATTTACAGTCAAACAAGTAATCTGTGTATTTGGTTGTAGTTTTAATTCAGTTGATCCTTCAAATATAAGCGACATTAGGTGATTCAGAAACCATTTGGACACAAGTGATGTCATTCAGAGCAATAACCTGCATCTTCCTTTCTTTTTTGTTGTGTGAGTGTTTATGAATCATTCACACGACTGTGATCCATTTTTCTTCCGTATGTTTTTCGGCATCCTTCTCCTTCCACAATTTTTGTGCTATTTCAACAAATCATAAATCAAAATGTTCAGCTCAGAACAATCCTGTTATGACATTTGGTATTATTGCAACTTTAGCTTTTTGAAATATTTAGCCTTTTCTGCTTTTTTTTTCTCAAAGAAAATGAATTGAGCTCATTTTACATCCTTCAAGTCTTTAAATCTGTTTACAACCTTTTACTGCTCCGTTCACATTTTGTTGTGGTTCAGCTTCTTTCAGCTATCTTGTGCAAATTTAAACTTTTTTTTTTTTTTTAGCTACTTTCAGAAGTTTTTTCAGCTGTTTTGTGCTCCTTTCAGCATCTTTCTGCTAAAACATTTTTGTGCTTCTTCTAACTTCTTTCTGCTAATTTCAGCTTGTTGTGCTTCTTTTCAGCTTCTTTCTGCAAGTTTCATCTACTATTTAGCTCTTTTTATTCTAATTTAAGCTTTTTCAGATAATTCCTCATATTTTGCACTAATTTAAACTTTTTCAACCTAATTCAACAAAAAAATGTGCTCGCTCCATTTCCTTCTGGCAATTTAAGCTTATTTCTGCTTTTTAGCTACTTTTCAGCTGTTTTTTTAATGTGTGCTAATTTCAGCTTTTTCCAGATAAATTTCCCTTTTTTGTGCTCATTCATTCGTTCAACCTTTATTTAGACAGGTTAATCCCATTGAGCCTCAAGGACTCATTTACAAGAGAGACCTGATTTCAACAAAGAGTGATGACAACAGTGGACAAAAGCCACAACAATAGACAAATATAAAAGAGGCATACAGATTTTTTTTTTAAACAAATTAAAATAAGATGGCAAAAATAGCTAGATCATAAGGCGATTGTAGAAAAACTAAAAACAGGAACATGTCTGCATTGGTCCTTGCCAGGAGTCCAACAGATTCTTAAAGCCACTTAGGTCAAGGTCGAGAGCTTCAGATCTTTCTCGTATCTGCTTCTTTCAGCCTAACTGGGCAAAAGTGTGCTTTATCTACTTACTTTTGCTAATTTAAGCTTGTTCTACATTTTCAGCTACATTTTTACCAATTTTTAGCAAATTTCATCTGTTTTCAGAAAAATGCAAGTTTTTGTGGTAATTTCAGCTACTTTCAACCTAAATAACCCCTTTCTGCTAATTTCAGCTTGTTATGCTCCTTGCAGCTTATTTCTAATAGTTTCAGTCTTTTCTGCTGTTTCAGCTACCATTTAGATGTTTTTGTTCTAAATTTAGTTTTTTCAGCTAATTCCACTTTTTTTTTTTGCTCATTTCAGTTAATTCCACATCCTTCTGGTAGTTTAAGCTTTTTTCTGCCTTTTCAGCTACTTGTTTTGGTGCTAATTTCAGCCATTTTTTAAGCTAAATACATAACTTTTTTGCTCATTTCTGCTTATTTAAACATAATTCAGCAAATATTTATTTCTGCTTTCTTTTGTTAACTTAGGCTTGTTCTTCCATTTCAGCTACATTTCAGCATGTTTTTAGCCAATTTCAGCTGTTTTTTCAGCAAGTTCCTCCGCAATAAGCACTCTCACTGCATTTTCGCAGGAAATGCAGTTTCCCTAGTTTTATTTGAAGTTGCCTGTTCACTGTATTTCCTTTTAGATTGTAGAGGGTGTGATGTAAATCTTTACCCATGATGGAGTTTTTGTTTTCCCGGCCCCGTTTTTGTTTTTAAAAGCCCTTGTTCACAATCCTTCATGTCTCGTTTGCGTCCTCCTTTTTCCATTTGGTATAAATGGTTACTGCAAATAGATAGGAGTCTGTCTACTCAAAGATGTGAACAGAAATTGTGCTTGATAATTGCTTTGCAGCCATAACTGGTGCTGTAATATAGTTTCATTTGACTGCACTCGAGCCAGAAAAAGCTGCACATCACAGACAATCATCTCTTGCCCTCTGAGTTCATCAGACAGTGTTATGGTCTGTTAAAATGTAGAACTAACTTCTGAACATTAGGTGTGTTGAACAGCAGATGACACTCGGACACACTGTTACAGATATCGCATTGGAGACATTGTGAGAGTTGTTGGGTTCCACAACCATTGCCCCATCGTGGAGTTTCAGTACAGGTAGAGTTGCAGACTAATAAACAATCTTAAAATTAAAGTGCATGCTGTTTGAAATGTAATTGTTCAACGTGTGGGTGTTTATCAGACGGGGTCAGATGCTGAACGTTCGAGGTGAGAAAGTGTCTGAGGCGTTGTTCCTTAGTGCCTTGAAGAGAGCCGTTGCTCAGTGGCCAGGAGCTCAGCTTGTCGACTACTCCTGCGCAGAAAGTGGCATCTTGGGTAAAATACCAGTTATATCCTGTCAGGGCTTATTTTTTAATCTGTTCAGTTCAGCTCTTTTTATAAATGCTTGACTTGCAGGAGACACAATAGGCGGCTCAGATCCTCATTACCAGGTGTTTATAGAGCTGAAAGATGTGAGGAATCTGACAGAGGAACAGCGATATAAGGTGAGACTAATCCTAATAATGTGTTTGCTTTTACTTATAAATTTCTTCTTTCCCTTTAATTTTCTTCTCTTTCTTTCTAGCTGGACATTTGCCTTCAGCAGGGCTCTGCCGTCTACAAGTCGTTTCGTATAAAAGGCAGCATTGGTCCGATGAGGGTGCAGCTAGTGGCAGAAGGTGCGTTCAGGGACCTTCGTAAGAAGATGATGGCCTACACAAGCACCTCATCCAACACTTTCAAAATGCAGCGTGTGCTGCGCAGGAAAGAATACGCAGACTTCCTGTTGGGAAAAACAGTCTCCTGAAGTGAGACACGATGACGTTATGAACTGATCTTTGAGCACTGACTGAGTTTTATATCTGAAGTTTTAATAAATGTTAATTATCAAATTAAATGGAAATAGCTGTGCCTTTGAAAGGTGGTAAACACAAACCTTGCTTAAAGGTTTTGTCTTTAACAGCTAATGTTTATCCAGATACGGAGAAGTGTTAGTTTATCACCATAAACTAATTTCCTGGAAAATTGCATCTTTTTTATGGTGCGATAGAAGTTCAAATTAACAATGAAGTGTTTCATTTTCTTAGCTTTATTTATATGGTTTTGTAAATAAAAATGGAAAGAAAGAAGCAAAAATGATTTAACAGTTTTTCAGACATCAGCTGGCTACAATGGTAATGAAGTTAATATATGCTGTAAAAACCAGCAAATAATAAGGATTTATTTTGTCTAAACACTATTTTATTTCCGCTGTTTGTTTGTTTTTGCCACTTACGTGATGCTAATGATGAGAACGTGTTACTGTTTTTGATATTTTCAAAGCAGCTAAAGAAAAATAAAATACTATTGTATGCAGTCATGTTGCTTAAGCTTGATCAATAATGAAATTGCTGCTTAATTTTATAATATTGCACTTTTAGTTGATACCATGTAGTGTTACTTAATGTTCTTCTAGGATATACAGATTTATCATACATGAACTCACAATTAAAGCAACATTTTCAAATATCGATATTTAAATAATAAATAGAATTGGGCTGCAGTGTAACATTTTAAAACCATTTTATTTAGAAATGACAATTTGTTCTGTTTGCAGCAGAATAATTCAAGCATTATCTCAGTGTTCAAATCAAATTGGTCTATTTGTCAAAATCTTTTAAAGTGATTTGACTAATTATAGGTAATTAGAACTAGATAAATTGCATTTCCTGTGAAAATGCAATGTGAATGCTTATTGCAGAAGAAGGTCCTGGAAAAATGCTGTAATTAACTAAAAAAAAAAACATGCTAAAATGTAGCTGAAATGAAAGAACAAGCCTAAATTAGTAGAATAAAGCAAAAAGAACATAATTTCTGAATTGGGTTTAAATAAGCAGAAATGAGCACACAAATTAGGAAATCAGCAAAAAAAAAAAAAGTTAGAATGATCAAAATGGCAAAAGAAAAACCTAAAAAGTAGCCGAAAGGCAGAAAGAAGTTTAACCTACGAGAAGGACATAGAAAGAGCTAAAATGAGCTCCAGAAATGTGGAATTAGCTGAAAAAGCTAAAATTTGCGTTAAAACAGCTAAATAGTAGCTGAAATAGCATAAAAAGCTGAAAGGAGCATAATAAGCTGAAATTAGCATAAATAAGTTAATTAGGCTGAAATTAGCAGGAATTAACATGAAAAACTTGAATTTATCTGAAAACTGCTGAAATTAGCAAAACGTTTTCTGAAAAGGCAGCTGAAAAAGTAGAACAAGCTTAAATTAGCAGACAACGGCAGAAAGAACACAACTGCCCATTTAGGTGGAAAAAAGCAGAAATTACCATAAAAAGAAATTTGATGAAAGCTGAAATTAACAACAAAAAACAGCTGAAAAGTAGCTAATAAGCAGAAAGAAACTTAAATTGCAAGAAGGAAGTGGAGAGAGCACATTTTTACTGTATTAGGCTGAAAAATGTTGAAATGAGTGCAAAAAAAATGTTATTAGTTTAAAAAGCTTAAACTAGCATAATAACAGCTACGGTATATAGTAGCTGAAATAGAAAAAGCTGAAACTTGCAGAAATAAGCTGAGAGGATAATAAAAAGCTGAAATGAGCATAAATAAGTTAGAAGCAGCACAAAAAATGTTGTAGTTAGCAGAAAGAACGTGAAAGGAGCACGAAACGGCTCAAAGTAGCTGGAAAAAATCTGTAAAATTTGCACAAAGAAGCTGAACCAGAACAAAATGTGAAAGGAGCTGTAAACGTTTGTAAAAAGATCAAAAGATTTGAAGGATGTCAAGTGAGCTCAGTTCATTTCCTATGAGAAAGGAAATGACAGAAAAGGCTAAATATTTCAAAAAGCTAAAGCACCAATACCAAAAGTCGTAGCAGGATTGTCCTGAAAGAGCTGAACATTTTGATTTATGATTTGTTGAAATAGCTTGAAAACTGCGGGACGAGAAATGCACCAAAAATTGACATAAGAAAAACGGATCTCAATAGTTTGAATACTTCATAAACATTCACACAACTTTTTTGTTAAAGCCTGAGTTATGCTCCCATGTGTGAAAAGAAGTCCAGAGTAGATCTGTTCTACTTGTAGTGCTTTTTGTCACCACTGGGCGGTGCTAGTTGGAGAACCTGCTGTTTATTGTAGATTATCAAACTCCATTGTGATCATAATTTTGACAGATCGGGCCTTGGTCTGATCGATGCCTCCTCCCTGTGGAGGAGTGCACGTCCATCAATCATAACTACCTGTTAACAAAAGTGCAGAGGGGTTTTTTTAAGTGTAAGTTCAGAAATAATTTATTTAATGTTATAGATTATAAAAGTGCACATTGATTTTATGAGCTACTTCAACGTAGTGAACCTGAAATTAAAGGGGGGGAAGGCAGAGCTGCTGAACTCGGTTGCTCTGCTGCTTCATGACAAGCCTCTGGCCTGCAAGCCGCTCTGTTCACAAAGTGGGCTGATATTTTTAGTAACGTCCTATTTCAGCCCAGATTTGACATTGTTCTCACTTTATTTTTGCTTCAAAGTGTAATACTTTATGAGCGTAAGTCTATTTCCATGCAGTAACTGAGATGAAAGTGTTACAAAATCTGGCACAAAAAAAAGCAAACAAACAAAAAAAATCACCACGTATATAACGTTGTTTTCACTAATTTACTAAAACTGCTCCAACTTTCAACGTAACATGATGATTTACCACAATTTGTCTTCTGGTTCCAGTCTGGCGTGCCTTTTTGTCCCGTCGCCTTCTCCATCCCGGAGGATTTAGAGATGCAGAAACACTTTGAGCACTCATCTGCTGAATCAGTCAGGATCCGAGGCCTGATTCCTCAATGAGTTTACAGAGGACAGGGACACGTGCTGAACAGAGCAGGGACTGTACGTGCTGAGTGAATGAAATCAGCCCCAGAGCCTCTTTATCTCCCAGTTTAAGCCTGGATTAGTGAAGTTGATTTTCATTGAAAAGCAAGTAATTAGACACCCCCCTTTTTTAAATGCTATTACAAAGAGCTGAGAATTCTGGGTGATGTAGTTGGGATTTTCTTTCACCTGGCTCTTTCTGCTTCACTCAGCCAGATTGGACTACAGAGCTGATAGTGAGCATGTTTAATGGATAAGCCTCTTTGTTAACGACAAGCAGAGACAGACGAACTACAAGAAGACGAGACAATGAGAGATCATTAAAAATGGAAAGCAGTGGACGTCGACCAAGACCTGAACCTGATCCACGAAGGGGGGAAGATACTAACAGGATGGTCTTTTACTTTCACTTTTCCTTCTTTTATTCTCATCTTTGTGTAGCTAGATTGAATTATGAGCTTAAATATAATTTTGTAACAACACTGTAACACCTTTTCTATCTGATTATTTTCCCAATAAGCTTTATGTGTCCATCTTTTAGTTTGATTTTTTTAACTTTTCAGCATTAGCCATGAACAGTTTAGGGATTTTTAATGAGCCTTTTAGACAACACTGTCAGTCTAGATCAGGAGCAGTGAAGTTATTTGAGTCACAAGGTACAAAATCAAACATTGATCCAAGATTTCTATTAAGCGTTTATTTCATTTCTTGGCAAATTCATAATTATTATTATTTTTTGGTTTCATACCCAGGCTCTTCTAAAAACACAGAAAAAAATACAGTTTTGTGTAAGAAGTGTTGCATCATAACTGACCCTGACATATATGGGATGGTATTTACTTTTATCATGCAAAATCACCTTTATACATAAATAATGTTTGCAATGTAGGTTTTTCCTCTGAAAAAATAAATAAATAAAAAGGGGGAAATGATGCCAACTTATTTAATATTTAAAGACAATTAAATTAATTGACCTTATCGGCTGGGGTCTCCTTTCTCTCATGCCATCAGCATTAATGAGAGCTTCTCAACGCATCATTTAAAAGTAAAATGATGGAGTTAGTGATGAGCATCATAACCGTCTAGTGATATCTTTTTTTGATGAGATGTTTGGTGTGTTATAGTCTCTTAAAAGATCATCTTCAAGCTTATCCTTTAAATCCCAGAGCTTTAATTCTCTCATCAGGACACTGCAGAGACACTGACACGTAGAACCGGAGTGGTTTAGGACTCAGTGTGTGAACGCTGATTCAGCATTTACTCAGTTTTAAAGTTTCTGTATGTTTATTTGCTATCTAAATACTTCATGCTTTGTGAGATTTTAGCCATTCATATATCAAAAACTTCAGCTCATTCAGGAGATGGGTGATATGCTGTTTGGTTTTTGTAACTTTTATACTTTTCAAAATATTTAACTTTATATACAAACTTTTCACTATAAAAAAAAAACATTGATCTCTCTCCCATTCCTTCAAAAAAAAAAAAAAAAGTTATTTTGTAAATCTACTTCTGTGTATTAGCTGTATTTTTATCTTCTTAGTCCCCTTTTTAGGTGCCGTTCTGCTACTTTATAGACTTCTACTTTTAGCTACGGTAAGTTTTTTGACCTTTTGTTACTTTTAGCTTTTTATTAGCTTTTGGCTAATTGCTACTTTTAGGTGTTTTGTTTCATTTAGCTTTTAGTTAACTTTTTTGGTACTTTTATCTTGTTTTATTTTATGCTACTTTGAGCTACTCTTTTGCTTTACTGCCTTTTGTCTTTTACCCAACCTGCTACCTTTAGCTTTTAACTAGATAGCTTTAAGCTTTCAGTTAGCCTTTTGTTACTTTATCTATTTTTTGTTAATTTTACCCAGTTATAGCTCAGTTTTTGCCACATTTAATTTTAGCAACTTTTAATTTTATGCTGGCCTTTTACTACTTTCTGCTTTTACCTAGCATTTTGTTACTTTTAGCTAGCGTTTTGCTACTTTCAGCATTTACCTTTGCTATTTTTAGTTTTTTTAAAAGCCTTTTGAAAGCTTTAATATTTTGTGTTTCTCTTTAATCTTAGCTATCATTTTTGCTTTATTGCTTTTATTCAACTTTTAGCTTTTAGCTACTGTTTTGCTCTTTTAGCTTTAACAATTCAATTTTAGCTGCTTCAGCCAATTTAAGCGGTCATACTCAGCGTTCACACTGCATTTTCACAGAACATGCTATTTCTGTAGTTCGACTGTCCCAGCTCAGGCGTTTGAAAGCAAAAAATCAGTTCTCCACAAAAACCGTGTTGATAGTGTCCCTTGAGCCAGACTCTCGTGGCAAAACGCCACAAAGGCTTGCAGCCCAAGTTGCCACAAAAGCTTTCACTAAGTGACATGGAGGTAATCCATCTTTCTTTGATTTGCAGACCAGCACACAAAAGCTGCCGGCTGATAGTGGCACTGTGGGGTCTAATGGTGCTGTCAGAGGCTCCAAAACAGAATCCTGCCTCCTCCTTTTCATGCACCTCTCCCTCCCTCGTCTCGCTCCGTCTCTATACCTCCAGCTCAGATGAGAACAGGTCCCCACAGAGGATACCAGCGTCTCATTGGTTGGCGTTTCACAGGAACGGATGGTGGGGAGAGAGCACTAGAGTCGCGAGGAGGGGGAGAGAGCTCAAGAAGATGCAACTCTGCCACAGCCTCCTCACAGATCACTGAGCTGAGGGATGTTGGAGGTGTAAAGCATGTCTGAGGTCTGCTAATAAAAAGAAAACAGCAGGATTACAGGAGAATTTCTTCCACAGAGCTGCTGGGATCAGCGTCTTGACTGACTTGGTCAACAACATCTGGGCTGAAGGACTTTTTGACACCTGGACTGAACAGCTGCTTCTTCAGTTCTACTTCTCAAACCTCTGGATCATTTGGTCTTTCCAGGATGTGCTGTCGTCTTACATAGAGGTGCCGCTCTGAGGAAAGTTGGTCACACACGGAGTAAATATGTGCTCCTACGTCCAGTGCTGGATTGTCTTCCTCAAAATGTCCCGTCCCTGCTGAGACATCCGTCCAACAAAAGGCTTCTGCTTTGCTTCTGGGATGGTGTGACGTCCAGTCAGCTGTTGGCTGCCCCACATCTGGGTCAACATGCCTGTGATGAAGGGCCTCCTGGCCCCTCAGAACACCTTTCTGGACACCATCGCCACACGCTTCGACGGCACTCGTGAGTACAATGGAAACGCTTTCAGGCAAAGTTTCTAACATGTATCAATAAATAAATATTAACGGTTAACATTGCAACTCATTTATGTGAATGTTGGTCCTTTTATTTCTATTATTTCATCTAATGTTTCCAACAGCCTAAAATAGAATTGAACAAGCTCCTGTTGCTGTCATTAAACACCCAGATTAACATCTGTTATTTTAGACACGTGCAAAAAGCATCTGTGCCCGTCACCACAGACATCGCTGCTTCTGATAGTTCTGCGATGGAGACAAAAAGTTTCTTGTGAGACAAAAGCCTAACATCATCCTTCTACAGATCATCCCCAGCTGTTTCACACATTCCGCTCCACGGCCTTCAGCAGCCCTGTCATCTCTGCAGGCGCTGTGTTCTTGTTTTGTACCTTGTGCGTCCTCGGGGAGGTGCGGCTCAGTGCAAACAGGCCGTGGGGATGTCTGTGTTTGTTCGTGTGACGGTTCAGCCCGTCCTCCATCAGCCGTTTGCAGCAGCCTGAATGAAAGTCAGACTCGCAGGGATTGTAACGATCAAAGAGATGACATGCAGCGTTTAGCCCTTATTCCAAAAGCTGCATGATAAACTGACAACCTTTTGTCTTGAAAACAGACTGAATTACATTTAGCAACATTCCACATACATTTATTTAACTTTCTGTCATCTGGTGTTTATAAAAGATATTTGGATGGATAATAAATACGTTTTGGACTATAAAAGATTGAGTCCCCCACTCCATTATTCCTAAACAAATACAGTTTCTGTGTTTAACCTTGGTTTCAGCTTCATGGTGGCAGGTGGCAAAACTTATTCAGCTGCCTCTCTTCTGCTCTGCACAAACACATAAATTACCCCCACAGTAAACTGACAGAAAATACAGCCAAGACGCTTAGTGGGAATATAACAACTGCGCACATCACAGAAATACAATATTTTGCTTTTTATGGCATCCAAACGTGCCATAATGTAATTAAATAGGGATCCTAATCTTGAATAAATGGGTAATTGTTGCTATTTTTTAAAATTCTTTTGGATTTCATGTGTGTGCTCTTTGACCTTACTGCAAAGTAGTAAAAATAGTTAATTATCCAACCAGATAAAACAAACAAACAAACAAACAAACAAAAAACAACCCAACAATAACAAAACAACAGCCACAACAAGAAAGAAGACCCACAGTTTTGTGTTAATTAGCTAAACCACGACTTGAGTCTGAATTTGTAAACGTTAAAATGTATTGCTGGACATTTTGAGAATCTAACAAAACACTTGAAGAAGTAAAGAGCATTCGCTGAAGGTATGCATGTCACCCGCCAGCTTTTATACATCATATATATTATATACACATATATACATTTATCTCACTGTTTTTAAGTTTTGCATAAAAACCCACTTTTATTCCCTGGCTTTTGGCACGGTGTGATTTGTTTTGAACCGGTATGTATGCTACAGTGTTAGCCATTTAGTTATCTTCTGCTATTCGTATTTATATTTTTATTTTATTTTATGTTTTGCTGTGTACTTTGCTTGTTTGTTTCTGCTGTACAGCATTTTAGTTGGTCTTGTTGCTGTTTTAAGTGCTCTATAAATAAAGTTGTATAGTATCTATCTATCTATCTATCTATCTATCTATCTATCTATCTATCTATCTATCTATCTATCTATCTATCTATCTATCTATCTATCTATCTATCTATCTATCTATCTATCTATCTATCTATCTATCTATATATATATATATATATATATATATATATATACATATATACATATATACATATATACACACACATATATGTATGTATGTATGTATTCACTCATTCAACCTTTATTTAAACAGACAAGTCACATTGAGCCTCAAAGTCTCATTTACAAATGAGATCTATTTGGAAAGACAATAAAAGTAGTGAAAAATGACAAATAAGGTTTGGTGACAAAAAAAATCCTAACATGCTTTTAACCCCTGTTTGAAGGTCCAGTGTGATAATGAAAAAAAAAAACAAGCCCACTAGCACATAATGACACCGACATTATGCAGGGCGGGGCGACACAAGGGTGGTGAGCAGCCAGAGACAACACACAGAGACACTGCAGAGTTCAGATACAATCACTCAGTTCATAAAGTTCTCTCTGGAGAGATCCGTGCACACTCGAGGGTTGCCGAGGATGACGAGACAAATCCAGAGTCCTGAAATGATGACAGAATGTTTATCCAGCTGGGCTTCTCTGAAGAGTCCACGGAAATTCCTCAGAAGGAGGGAGGGAGGGGCTGAGCATCGTGTTTACAAAACTTCCAGGCGGGATGAGATAAGATGGCCTGTCAAGGCCAGTCAGGGAGCCGAATTCAGATAAACATGATTGTTTTGGGGACAGGCAGAACTTTAATGACATCTACCTTGAGTCTGTGTTGGTCCACTTGGATTCAAAACATCCAAGTTAATTGACCATACCAATGGAACATGCCTGAGAATAATCCCTGAGATCTGATCCATTCTGCCAAGAGTCTGGGTGCTCGAGGCACAAACCAAGCCATCATATAAGGCAGGCAGCCTGACCAGGTCCAGATTTTCTGCAGACGACTTTCTTGTTTGTTGATAGACCAGGAACCAGCCAAATCCAAAAAGCAGGAACCAGTTATCATAAATCCTATTATAAATGTGTCCTTTAAATCCCAAGATGACAGCAGAGATAGACACGTCATCAAGTCTTCCAAGTCGATGAAATATCCAGCTGCGTGCGTGCCAACAGGGCAAATCGGCTTGCCTAAAGCCTGTCTTCCCTTCAAAGAAATGTTATCAATTGTGTTGAGGGATCAACTGACCAAATCCAAGTCCATAGTTATGGTTCGGACGATTTGTAGAAGAGAAGCTCTAAAGCAGTTTCACAGACAGGACAGAGCGAAAGCAAAGCGGAGAGGGAGAGGAGGAGACATCCGCCCTTGAGAAGAGCAAGTGTTGGATGACCATAATCTACTACCGCACCACATTTTAGCTCAATTTCTGCAAAACTGCCAAAGTAAATTTGCTGTAGATGTTTCTGAAAGTTTCATCAAAATCCATCCAGCGGTTCATGATTTTGCAAACAAACAGACAAAGTTGACTTCAAATACAGCAGCTAAAGGCTTCTTTCTGAAAACAGATCTCATGCAGAATGTGTTTTGGGGATGACTCTCAGCCACTGCCACACAAAAGTTTAGCTCTATATCTAAATTCAGCTGAGTCATAACCATTCAGCTGTGGCGGCTTTTATCGCTTTCATGTAGACTATTACTCGGCCTTTTGGCTTGAAGCTGGAATACTGACGTTGGTAGAGATGATCAAGAAAGAGAAACCAAAAGACGCACGGCCCACCTAAGTACCCCTGTGGTTCCAGCCATGTACTCAGGGATGTGAAAACACTGACATGGGTGATATCATTATATAAATAAATAAATAATGATGGTAAATGTAAGTATAGTTTTGGCATGTATAGATGCACATTCTGATGAACTGTCTGAAAAACTGTCTGACACACTGCATGTGAACAGACTGCACCAGTTTGTGTTCATAACACAGCAGAGAGCAGCTGGAAGATGGGGTGGGGAGGTCATGCTCTCGTGTTTCATGTGCCCCGCTGAAGAGTCCTTCAGCTCAACATGGACTCCAGAGTGTTTGTTGTTTTCTTCTTTTTGACCTTCCAGTGAAGAAGGGCAAGAAAAACCCTTCTGTTGTTCTGGGTCCAGCGTCTGTGTTCGTGTGTAAAACTGTTTCTTATTCACAAATCCTCTGACATGTGTTAAATAGCTCCCTGTATTTATCAAACACCACTGAGGGCTGAGCCATAACTCAGACAATTTGACAGATACAGTTTGACATGGTGGTAGATGAGCATCATCCCAAACACATACTTCAAGCTCAAAACATTGCACATCAGCATTAACTGTTGCAGTCAAGCCTGTTTGTCTGTTAGGAAAATATCCCAATAACTACAAAATTATTTTATTCAAGATAGCCGCTACAGCTTATTGGACACAGCCAACACAAACGTGGCTATATTTCTATTACTTTTACAGATATCAAGCTAAACATTTGGTGTGGTAGTAGCTCAAAGTCATTCAAGACACATACTCTACTGTATTTTCCGCCCTATAAGTCACAGTTTTTTGTATAATTTACATGCCCTGCGACTTATAGGCTGAAGCGACATATTTATGGATTTTTTTTTTCATATTTATAAAACAATTTTTGGCTGAGATATGACGGTTTGCATTCATTTTGACTGAGAAAAAAAAATAGCACTACCACTTTCAGCCACTTGATGCCAGCAGAGTAGTAATAGTGTATGGCATGCCGTTGTATCATGCAATAAATAAACGTGGCTATAATGACGAATTCAAAAAAGTTCAAGACTAGGAACAACTGGACTTTATTTATTATACTTTACTGTATACTTTATTGTTTTTTTCTTGAAATTTTTGAATTTACCATGTCCTGGATGACTGAGAATCTTTACCAGCTATTAATGATGCAATCGGCTTGCCATAGATCCCACCTTTGTTCTGCTCGCTGATTGGACCGACCGTGAAACCAGCTGCACCGCCCCGGCGAAATGCAGCTAATTTGACCATTAAAGTGCATTTATTAACCAAACGTTAGACTGAGACACACCTTTACTATAATTTCCAGCAAACAAATAATTGTTTAGGTGCATTTCTTGTTAAATTTTGAAGAAACGAGCCTCCTTTTTCCCATCCTCTGTGCGCTCCCGGAGCACTAAGGCAGCAAAACTATATTTGAAATTCAGCTGATTTGACCATCAAAGTGAATTTATTAAGCAAACGTTAGACTGAGACACACATTTACTATAATTTCGAGCAAACAAATAATTGTTTTTAGGCGTTTATCTTGTTACATTTGCACAGCAACTCGTCGCGTGCACGCGTTTACTTCCACGTATTGGCTTTTGACATACAGCTGATTTGATCGTCAAAGTGCATTATTAATATAACC